AAGCCTCCTGCGCCCCTACTTTTTGGCGTAGGCCAGGGCTTGCACAAGAAGACCAGCTACTGCTGCTATGGCACTACCCACTCAGTAAGACTGGATAACACTGGGAAAACGTACCCATAGAACTTGTGACAGGAACGCTGCCGAAGCCCCATCCTTCCCGAAGGAGGTTTCGGAAGCACTTACACATATGAACAACCGTTTAGGTGCATATGGAGATTAGAGGTGATTGTAACCCTTTTGGAAAATAGCAGGAAGTCTGCCGGGGAAACACGGGCACTGAGGCTATACCGTGGATTTTTCACATACGGGATCCACTTAGGTCTCTACATATGGAACCCAGCCCTGGGTCTCACGGATTCATCAAGTGAGGGCCTGGCGCCGGACGCTCCACCACGTCTGGCTGCTGAGGGGATGGAGGAGCTCGACAGGATCTACGATATGGACTCTCTGGAGCGGTTTTAGCAAACTGACCCGAAGCCGGGGCCTCTCAGTGCTTCTGCCCGTTTGAGGTGAGAACACAGGAGGATACCGGCTCCACACGAAGGCTATAGAATCTAGTGAACATGTTGGGGGTCGCCCATATATCTAAATATATCAATATATACCAAATATCTGCCAGCGAGGCGCCACAAGCTAGCGCCCAGGAGGATGCAACACTCCTAGTAGAGTGAGCTCGCAACCTGAACGGGCAGGGCACACCCTGTGCCTGATGATCCACAATCCAGTGGGCCATCCTCTGCTTAGAGACGGCATTCCCCTTCTGCCGGCCTCCATGACAGACAAAGAGCTGGTCTGAGGTCCTGAAGCTTTGCGTCCTGTCGACGTAGCATCTCAATGCCGTACGGGACAAAGCAAAGCTAGAGCTGGGTCTGCCTCCTCCGGGGGCAGCACTTGCAGGCTCACCACCTGATCCCTGAAGGGAGTAGTGGGAACCTTGGGCATATAGCCGGGCTGGGGCCTCAGGATTAGCTGGGAGTCAGCCGGTCCGAACTCTAGGCACGAATCGTCTGCCGAAAATGCGTGCAGGTCCCCTACTCTCTTGATGGAGGCCAATGCAAGCAGGAGCAAAGTTTTCATTGACAAAAACTTCAGCTCAACTGTCTGCAAAGGCTCGGGGGTGGACGCAGGGGGCCGCCCTCGGCGACGAGCAGGCTGGGGCGCTGTGGCCGGCGGATGGGTGGAGGCAGCATCTGCCCGCCGGGGCAGAAGGTCGGACCGCCTCAGTCTGCTCCTGTGCAACCGAGAACTGCTGGACCAAGTTCTTGACTGCGTCACCAAAAAGGCCGGTCTGGGACACAGGGACCTTGAGGAACCGAACTTTGTCGCGTCCCTCATGTCGACCAGACACAACCAGAGGTGACGCTCCTGGACCACAAGTGTGGACATTGCACGACCCAGAGAACTCGCGGTGACCTTCGTCGCTCGGAGTGCGAGATCAGCTGCGGTTCGGAGCTCTCTTAGAACTTCCGGATCGTGACCACCCTCGTGCAGGTCCCTCAGTGCTTTAGCCTGAAGAACCTGCAGTAATGCCGTAGCGTGTAAGGCGGAGGCAGCTTCTACACAGGCCGTATAAGCATCGCCGGACAGGCCAGACGAGTGCCTACAGACCCGGGAGGGGAGGCACGGTCGCCCTGCCGGGTGGAGGCGGTGTTAGGACACAATTGCATCGCAACCGACCGCTCCACCGGGTGTACCCTTGTATACCCCCTAGCTGCACCACCGTCGAGGGTGGTGAGGGAGGATGAACCAACAGGTCAGTTTCCGGTTGTAAAAGGTGCCGTCCATGACCTGGTGAGCTCCTA